CACAAAAGATGCTACTGAAACAGGAGATACATATTTATATATGTGATTAATCTCATTAATTTTTTTTTAAATCAGTACTGGGAATCGAACTCATGACCACACACTTGCAAGGCAGGCACTTATGCTGCTGAGCTAAATCCCCAGCCCCAATCTCATTAATCTTTTGAGAAAGATAAACTAAAATCATATCAGACAAGCATTTAACAGCCAAAATTAAAAAAATAAGAGTGCTAGGGGCTGGGGGTTTAGCTCAGCGGCATAAGCACCTGCCTTGCAAGCAGGCGGTCGTGAGTTCGATCCCCGGTACCGATAAAAATGAAAAAAAGACCAAAAAAAAAAAAAAAAAAGAGTGCTTTGGAAACGAGCAGCTGAAACTTCTTCATCATAGTAAGTGCTCTTCCATTGAGCTACATCCTGGATTGATTTTATTCATGAACTCACCATGTAGCCTAGGTTGGCCTCAAATTCATGGTGATCTTCTTGCCTCAGCCTCCCCACTGTGCAGAGATCACAGGCATGCACCACCACATCTGACTTGAACAGCCAAAATTCCTGTGCCACTTGTAGAACAGTAAATTGATACATCCACTTTGGACAACTTCTTGGGAAAGATAAGAGGGCTATTATTGGCAATTTCACTTTAAGGTAAATGCCCGTCAACACACAAAAATGAATGATCTTGAACCAAGGATGGTGGTACATGCTGGGTGATCCCAGCACTAGGGAGGCAGAGGCAGGATCGGAGTTTGAGGTCAGCCTAAGCAGCAGGGAATTCCAGGACAGCCCGCACTACAGAGTGAGACCCCTTCCATGGAAGTGAGAGAGAGAGAAAGGAGGAGAGAAAGGGAGGGAGGAGAGAAAGAGGGAAAGAGGAAGAGGGAGAGGGAGGAAGGGAGGGAGGGAGAGAGATTGAGAGATCTACCCCAACATATAGTGAGGGGCAGCTGGATTCCAGAGAATCCATGTCTAAAAGTAGCTACTATATGATCTCATTCATATGAAGTGCAAAACAAGCAAAACCAAGATGTGGTACTAGAAGGCAAGATAAAGGTTTCCCTGGAGTAGAGGGTAGTGAATGGCAGGAGGCCCAGGGGCCCGGAAAGTGATCTGTCATGCAGTGTTCTGGTTACAGTGCATGTTCTTTTTGCAGTACTGGTGATCTGTGCACTTCTCAATATCTACATTGCATATAAAAAAATTTTTTTTGGTTCTTTGAGCCAGGGTCTGTCTATGTAGTCCAGGCTGGCCTCGAACTCCCAGCGATCCTTCTGCCTCAGCCTCCAGAGCGCTGAGATCATAGGTGTGGCAGTACCATGCGCGGCCCACACTTCGATGTTTAAAGCTTATAAAAACTGAGGTTTGAAGAAAAAAAAAAAAACTCACTGAGGTTTGACTTGCAATCCTCCCTGAATACTCGGCGTGTGCCCACCAGGTGGGAATTGCGGGGCTATGTGTGTTGAGATTGCTCGGTGGACGCGAACATCACCACCTCCCATTCTTACCTCGTGATTGGCTGCGCTTGTAGCCAATAGCATAAGAGTTCATGCAGGCTGCTAGCCCCTATCACTCCAGTTGAGATGTAGCTTCCTACCGTGGGTTTGCAGGCGGCGCTGTGGGCTCACTAACTTCTTGGCCACCGGTAGACCCTCTGGGATTCTTTTTTTTGGTTTTGTTTTGGTACCGGGGATCGAACTCATGACCTCACACTTGCCAGGCAGGCATTATGCCACTGAGCTAAATCCCCAGCCCTCCTCTTGGATTCTTTCAGACTCTCAGATATGGAGACAGAATAAGTTCCAGCACTGCTGTATTCTCTACAAAACTCGTTTGCGGCTTTTTTTTTTTTTTTTTTTTTTTAAGTATTTATTTAGGCTCGTGAACCCCTTCCATGCTCTTGGTCCAGGTTTCCGTGACCCGCCCCGTACCTACCCTGCTTCCTCTACTTGGTGTCACCCGGCCCTAGGGCAATGCTTGGGACATCTTGATAGTGGTCCAAATCGTCACTTGCCATGTTGCCACATCTTTCTTGCGGCTAATTGTTTACTCGATTGTTTATTTATCCAGAGTGGCGGGGGTGGGCGGAGTGGGGACGACTGCCCCCAGGGAAGCCCACTTCCTGTCCCTAGCTGGCTCAATTTGCATTCGGCCTCTCACACGCTGGAAAGAATTGCAGAGCCAGGGAAGGCGCTCCTTGATGTTGCACCCATCCAACAAAACACTGCTGAGCTTCGCCTTGGGCCGGCGCCTTTGTTAGGGACATCATCAATGACTAACTTAGTCGTGTTTCCTCCTCATGGGATGAGAGAAAAACCTATTACCAGACTGAAGTAAGCCAGCATGTCTAGGACTTGGATGGGGAAGGATGGATGGGGCTTTGCCTTGGCCTGTGGTGGGGAGAGGTCCTCCTGAAGGGGTAAGTCTATGGAGTTCGCATCTGAAAGAAGGGTAGGAGTTATTTGGTGGACAAGGACTTTGTCTTTTTGGCTACCATGCCCCCGGTGCCTCTCATCCTTATTTAGAATTGAATTCATTCACTTGGTCATGAACAAGTATTGTGTATCATTTGCCAGACTTAGGAAGTAACCAAGAGTCCTAGCCTTAAAAGGTGACACATAAAATGGTGACATCAACACAGGACTGATGAGTACTAGGGAAGGGTGTGCAGTCACCTGACCCCCACTTATCAGGGTTTGAATCTCAGGTATATCCATTCCTAGCTGTGTAACCTCTCTGTGCCTTGTAATTTACCCATACGATTGTTTTGAAGATGGAGTTGTCAAATGCTTTATTAGTCTCCCTTTCCCAACTTTTTTGAGACAAGGTCTCCCTATGTAGTTCTGGCTGGACTTGAACTTGCTTACGTAGGCCACGTTGGTTTCAAACTCACAGTGATCCTCCTGCCTCAGCTTGTAGAGTGCTGGGGTTACAGGCTGGTGCCACCACGCCCCGCAAAAGAGTTAATTTTTTTTTAAACTTAAAAGTTAAAAGAAAAAGGTTGTTGAAAACATTCTTTACTCTGACAAGTTTTGCTTAAGCAGATGTTTTAAAAATTGAGCTCATGTAATTTTATCAATGCTTATAGAGTACTTTGTATATGCATGGCATGATTTTTAGCATTTCAAATAGTCTCACCTTAATCTTTTATCCTTTATTTTCCTGGTCGGGGGTTGAAGCCAGAGCTTCCTGTACACTGTGGAAACCCTTTTCCCCTGCGCCCTGGTTTTGCTTTCCTAAATTTCAGGGGGTTGGAAAATACTGCTATTTGTTTTAAATCTTTCAAGTGAGGGTCCACAAACCCAGTTATTTTCATTATTGATCAGTGAAGTTATTCTACTTTATTACTATTGTTGATGTTACTGTGTATCAAACTTCACCACAGGTATGCAAGTATACAAAAACATCCATGATGAATATAATCATTATGTACTTTATTTATTTATTGTCTTTTTCAGACAGGGTCTCATTATGTAGTTCAGGCTGACCTTGAATTTACTTTGTAGCCCAGGCTGGTCTCGAACTCTCAATGATCCTCCTGCCCTAGGCTCCCAAGTGCTGGGATTACAGGTGTGCGCCACCACACTGGCTCATCATTATGTATTCCAAACATATACTAATGAAAAATTTAAAAAGATACACCAACCTATATATATATATGTACAATTTGGGCTGATTTCAGGGAGCCACCCCCCTGAGGGAGGTACAATTTTTCATTTTACAGAAGAAGACTAAAGAAAGGGACAAAATGCAACAGAAAACTTGCTCCTTCTTCATGCGTTCCAAAATACAGACTCGGGCCCAGAGAGCTCATTTTTCACAATCCGTACTTCCGGAGGAGTCCCAGAGGAACTCCTCCTTGTTCAAAGGAATCAAGTTTTATAGCGGTGCCCTCTTCCATCACTACTTCCCCTCCAGACGTCCAAGTGACAGTTGATTTGCAGTCATTTGGACAATAGTGATTTGGGGGCCAGGACTGCGTGCAGCACTAGGCCATCTTCCCTCTGCCAGGCAGCGAACGATCATAGAATCACGAACAACTTGTGTTAACGCGCGCATTGCCTAGATTTTCCTCATGCCAGGTTAAGAGCACGCGCTCTCCAGCCCCGCCTTCTCTTCCGGGACGACGAATTGCAAGGATCAGATTGGGCTGAGGTAGGCCACGCCTCTCAATGCTCTCCAATCAACTCCCTCGCTGGGTGCGCTCCCTCCTTCTTGGCCCAGCCCCACAACCCCAGCACCCCACGTTACGTCTCCCATTCTCTCCTCCTCCGTTATCCTGGGGGCTGCGGCTCGCGCGGCAAACCCACCTACCCTTGCCTCCCATTGGCTGGTCAGGTCCCGCGCGAGCGGGATCGCGCCCTTCGTCTCCTCTTTCAGAGCCAGGCCGTACCTCTCCACTCCAGTTTTCTCCCAGAGTCAGTGTGAGGCACAGGATTGATTGCTCCTGGAGCGCGCTTTGCACACGCCTCCCTCCAGCCACTCCCTCTCCCTTGCGCCAGGAGCCGCGCCGGCTGGCGGCCGCTACTACGCACGCGCACTTGCCCACCCTTTTCCCTCTGCCAGTTCGCGGGTCTCCTCGCGCTCAGTCTCGCGCCGCAGTAGCCGCAGTAGCGGCATTTTCTCGGGGCGCACGCGCACTGCTCCCTTCGCGCCCGCTCCAATCTCAGGCCGTGGCGGCTGCAGCGAGCCCTTCAGGCGCGCGCGCGCTGTGGCTGCGTCTTGCTGTCCGGTGCTGCTCATCCCCTCGCGGCGCGCGCCTGGGGGCCGTTATCCCCTTGCAGCAGTCCCCGCGCCAGGCACGCGCAGTAGCGAGGGGGCGCGCGCACTCGGGAGCGGCGGCCGCAGGAAGGAGGCGCCGCCGCCATCGCGCGCAAGGGAGGGAGCGAGGCCGGTCCGCCCTCCCCCTGGTTCCCGCCCCTCCCCCTTCCCTCCCCGCCCCCCGCCCCGAGGGAGAGCCGCGGCGCGGCGGGAGGAGGAGGCGGAGGAGGGAGCCCGCGAGGGAGGGTCCGCCCGGCCCCCCGCCGCCGGAGCCACCGCTGCCTCAGCCGCCGCCGGACGAATAGTGGGGGAACATGGCGCCGGGGCCGCCGTCGCCGCGGCCAGAATCCCCGAGGCCGGGGCCGCGCTGAGGGCGCCCAGCTGGTGAGTGCGCGAGCTCGCGGGCCCCGCGCGGCGAGGCCGGGCGCCGCCCAGCTGCGGGGTCCAGGGGGAGGCGGGGACGGCGGGGACCGGAGCCCGCGAACAATGGAGGAGCCAGAGGGGGAGGGGAGGGAGCGGCCCCCCAGTGCCCCGGGCCCGCAGTCCCTGCCGCTTGGCGCTGGGGCCCGGCCCGTGGGGCCTGGCCGCCTTCAGACTGGCCCTTGTCCATCCTCCCCCTCGTCTGTGTGCCCTCCTGCGGCCCGGTGAGTCTCGGGATCTATCCGTCCCCCCACCCACCTTCGGCCACCCTGCTCCCAGTTCTGCACCTCCCCGCTTCCCTCTTCCGGCCCCAAAAATGTCCTTCGCCCCTCCTGGACTCTGCAATGCTTGCGGGACCCACCTCCTCCTTGGTGACCCTTCTGCATCCCTTAATTCTTGCTCACACTTAGAGATGCGTGACCCTTCTGCTGGCTTCTGATTTCTGCGCTCGTTGCCTTTAGGATCTGTCCCCGGGCTCTTCTGTGACCTATCTACTATTATCCTGTCTCAGAATCTAGTATTGCACTCCCAGGAGCTGTCCCTTTAGGACTTGCTGTTGCACCTCCTTGGAGATCCATCTGAAAGCCCTGGCACTGCCGCCTCCGGGGTCTTTTCCCCTGGACTTGATTCCATCAGCCTCTTGGGCGCAGTTCGCCTCAGAACCTCTGCTCCCCTAGATGTCCCTCAGCTGCCTCTCTGACCCTACTGACTTAGTTTCCTCATGTTTGCCTCACCTCTCTTGCTTTCGTTTGCCATTCAGACCTTTTCCTCTCTTCCAGACCTTTTTGCCTCCTATTTTTGCCCCTTGCTGGAGCTCAGATCTTGCTCCCCAGTCTGCTTGCTTTCTGCGTCTGCCTCCAAGGAACCAGCCTCCTCCCCTTTCTCTGACCAGGCTGGTCCCCCGTGTCTGCTATTCACTTTCCTGACCTTGAGCCCTGAGTTTCCCTCAGCCTTGGTTAGGTCTGGCCTAGTGTTCTCTTGGGGGTTTCTTACTTTCGTTTTGGCCCTGGGAGCTGTTCCATTCATTTGCTCCCCTTCCTCTGACTGGTCTTTCCTTCAATTCCTCTTTGCCTAAAACCTGCTTCCTGCCTCTGCTCATTGTGGGGCTTAGCCTTGCCCTTCCTTCACTGTGCCTCTGATGATTCTGACCTGTCACCTATCCTGTTCCTCTTCTGTATCTCACAGACTGCCCTGAAGCGTTTCCCACCTGCTCTTTATCCTCATTTCATTTCTGCTCCTATCTTTACTTAGGTTTTTCCACCCCCAACTTATTTTCTTTTGGAGCTGTCCATTTGCCCGAATATTTTTTTCACCTTTTTTTAACTTCGCTATTCCTGTCCCTCTTGAAGTGGTCCTTTTAACATTAGTCTCCATATAACTGCAACCTAGCTCTGGTCCCTCTCAATACTATCTTCTGGCTGGCATTCTCTACTGCCATACCATTTTGATTCATTTTTCACACTGATTTCATGTATTCTGTCTCCCTAGCCTAGCACTTAGCTCTTTTTTGAGTTTTTTTTCCCCCTCACTTTTAATATTAAGGTGTTTGGGGTTTTTTTTTTTCTCTCTCTCTGGTGCTGGGGATTGAACCCAGGGCTTTTGCATAACCTTTTACATCCCAAACCTTTTTAATTTTTTTTTTTAAATTATTTTGAGGCGGGGTCTTACTACAGTGTGCCCAAGCTGAATTTATACTTGTGGTCTTTTTGCCTCATTTTGCCAAATAGCTGCTTTTACAGGCATGTATCACTGAAGTGTCTTTATTTATTTATTTATTTTTGAGACAGGCTCTCTGTAGTTGAGGCTTACTCTTTTTTTTTTTTTTTTTTTTTGTCTTTTTCCTTTTTATCGGTACCAGGGATCGAACTCACGACTGCCTGCTTGCAAGGCAGGCGCTTATGCCGCTGAGCTAAATCCCCAGCCCCCAAGTTGAGGCTTACTCTGAATGAGGCCCCACATGGGCCTCACTCGGTGATCCTCCTGTCTCAGCCTCCCAAGTGCTGAGTTGGCAGGTGTGTGCTACCATGCTTGGCCTAAACAGGTATCTTCTTAGTCATTTTTTTGTGTTACTGTCCCCTGCTTCTTGGAGCCACCTCAGTTTTTGATTGATGGTCTTTTCCCTTTGCTATCCCTTATTCAGATCTCTCAATTTGGTTTCTCCCTTTTTCCTTTCTCTAGTGTCCAGTCTGGCTCCTCTTGCATTCAGTTCCCATCTGACCTGGGTCTCCCAGCTTTTCCCTGTTTTTACCCTGCCTGCCACCCATTGAGGAGCTTTTTCAGGTGTCCTTTCCTCTGGCCTCCATCCCTCAGGTTCACAGACTAAAGGACTGGCTGAGTCTCTCAGCACCCTGCACCAGAGGGTTTTACCCCTCCAGGGATCTTGTGAGATCTGGTAAATAGATGGGGGGCAGTCGGGTGTCTGCCCCATTTCTCCCACTTCCATCAAGGCTGGTGGTCGGGTGGCTCACAGTTCATTGCCCCATTTTCTTTACTGTGCCCTTGTTTGTTCACCTCTTTGAGATCTCTCTGGGCTTCACAGCTTTGTGTCCTTTAGAAAGGGGAACTGCAGTTGCTCACAGGTCTTTATTGTCTTTCTTGCTTTCCCTCTGAGCTATTGCAGAAACAGTTGTACCCTCTTCCTCCTCTACATCCAAGGCAGCACTTTTAAGGAGATGCTAGAGGGGTACTTCTTTATATTTTTCAGCTAACAAGTCCTGCTCTTATTTTACTTCTCATGAAGGAAATGCCAGTTCTCAAGCTTCCCATTCCAGGAGGGTTATGGCCAGGCTTGGTGTTTACTGCTCTGGGCCTGCAGAAGCAGCAGAACTTTTCTTGCCTTCCCTAAGTGGCCTTTGGTTTGCCCTGTGACCTTGGGGGAGGAGCTGGACAGAGTAGGTTTATTTCTTTTTCACCTCTGCCTAGGAAGACACTAGCTTCCTGGTCTTCAAAATGGGGAGGGCCTGGGTTTGGAAAGCACTCTGCGGTTGTTTGTTGAAAGAGAGAGTGCCAAGTGTCACTGGATTTCTGCCCTCTGGTATTGCAGGCACTCCCACCCACAGGAGCCCAGTGCCTCTGGGCAGAGCCATACTGCCCAGGAGTTAGTGAGTTAGTGCCTCGGTGTACAAGGGGTGTGTGGGCGGGCCTGACTTTTCCCAAATCTTTTTTGAGGGACCTCAGTGGGTAGAATTCTAGAAGGCTGCTAGGGACTGACTGACATGCATGGATTTGGGAAGTGGGCCTTTGCTTCCTTGCCTGAGCCATTTTTTTCCAATGATTATACAGTGCAATGGTGTTTAAGGAAATCCATTCAGAGGTAGAAATGGTTTTACAGAGGAGCCAGACAGCTATTTTTCTTCCTTAACTTAGGTTAGAGGACCTTTGACATGTTCTAGGTTTATTTATTTTATTTTTTAGTAGTAAATCAAAAGCCTCCCTCCTCCCCAGTGCCTAGGGCAATTGCATGTTAAAGTAGCTATCCAGCTGGGAAGGAACATTTACCAGAAGGACTTACTTGACTGAGCTATGTTCAGACTTTATTTCAGCACTTATTTAGAAAAGTTCTGTGTGAGCACATTTGAAAAAACCAAACCAAACCAAAACAAAACATTCACTATCATGTATAGAATTAGACCAGTGACTCATCCAATGTTGGGGCATATTTCTATATGTGATGGTGAAAGGGCCTGGATAGTATATCTGTATGGTTCTTTAACTTTTTGAAGACTTCAAATTTTCTGAGCAAGCACCGTGGCAATTTTAATGTGTTTTCATTATTATTAAAGAATTGTGGTTTATTTTCACTGATGAATCTTTGGTCTTAAGCGTCATGAATTTACTTTAGAGTGTGAGTTTGGCATAAATAGGGCTTTTGTTGTTTGTTTTTGTTTTTGAGACAGGGTCTCATTAAATGGTTCAGGCTGACCTTGAATTATGTAGCCCAGGCTGGTCTCGACTCCAGGTAATCTTCCTGCCTCAGTCTCCTGAGTTCTGGACACTACAGGTGTGCTTCACCAATTTTTTATTCTTAATGTGGAGGTGACAGCTAATTAAGAATAAAAACAACTGTATATGCAATGCTTCTTAAATTTTTGTTCTAGTTTTTTGGCTTTTTTTTTTTTTTTTTTGAGACAAGGTCTCCCTGTGTAGTCCAGGCTTGTCTGGAACTCACTCTGTAGCCTAGGCTGATGTCAACTCATTTTGATCCTCCTGCCTCAGCTTCCTGAGTGCTGGGTCTAAAGGTGTGTACCATTGTGCCTGGGGCTTGTTTTTTTGTTTGTTTGTTTTGAGATAGGGTCGCACTATGTAGTCCAGGCTGGCCTTGAACTTAACGATGGTCCTCCTGCCTCAGTGCTGGGATTACAGGTATGCATCACTATGCCAGGCTGTGTTCCGGTTTTAATATCACTGACAGCATAAAAAGTTCCTGCATGCCCAAAGCCTAAGTTTACATAATAAGAGGAGAGGAGTCCAAAAGAACCAAGAGCTGATTTTTCTTCTTAAGCTGGTAACTGATGTTCCAGATACTATCAGCTTTCCCTGATGGTAGCAGAGGCTCCAATACTAGTACTGACAATTGCTTTGGTGGTGGTGGAATTGGGTGCTGTAGAAATGTGAGGTGGTAGTCTGGTCGTTCTGGAACAGGTAATGTGTGAGTTGGTCGGGATGTGGAGGGAGAGATGGCAGTAGACAGTGTTTTTCAGCCTAGTTACTTGTCTTCGAGGCTCTCTTGCCCTGCCCAGACTCTCACAAACTGATGTGATCAAAGTTTACTCTCTTTCTTTTTTTCCTCTTCCTCCTCCTCCTCTTAAATCTTTAAAAATTTTTTTAACTATCTCCCTTCTTGCTTACCTGCTTTCCTTTTTTTTTTTTTTTCTTGGTTTGCTGAGGGCCTCAGGGCAGTAACAAATCAGAAAATGCTCAGTTCAGACAAATGGAATAAGTTATCCAGGTGCTGTTTTCTGGAG